TGCTCCAAAATAAGGAAGTATGAAAATGAGGGATGAAGAGAAAATGTTTGACGCAGCAAGCAGCTCAACCCCATGGGTGCAATCAGCGAAAGAAAGAGCGATTCAGTTCTAGTAGCTATGGTTACCCGTTTTCAATTGTTCGTGAACTTTTTAGATTTTATCCATTTTTTTAAGGGAGCTTTATCGATTTATCTGGACCATTTGAGTGAATTTTCAAGAATTGTCCCACATGCAGCCGGAGAATGTGAAATGATATTTTTTATAACTCCAGTCGCGGTATTCTAACTTGACCCAGGTTTGTGGCCTTTTTCTTCTGTCCGGATGTGTTAAAATCCTAGTTTTTGAAATATAAGCGTATCTCATCAACATTTCTGTCACTGAATATTCACACCGATTGCTTGGTTGATCTCCGCAATTTTGATAACGTTGGAAAGAAACAGACCGCTAGCACTGGGCACTTGAGCAATATTACGACCATCGGCATAGACAAGATAGGAATGTACAGCGGCACGTGACGGCGGAAGCGGTTGTGTGCTGACCGGTGTCCACGATACCAATAGCGTTCCGGGCTGCGGACCCATCTCCACTTGTACATTCGTGGGGGGATCCGGTAGACCGACTGTAATTGAATTTTTATTGGAAAATTTGTTTTCTTCTCAAGTCCATGGAGTACAGATCCAGCATTTGTTAGCAGTGAAAGACGGCAAATAGTATTGAACATTTTTTTTAAATATGCAAAAATCTGATTGAAAAACTTTCTTATCACATGAAATCCACGATTTTTTTTTTTATTTCAATAAAGAGATTCTTTCTATATTCGTTAATATTATCCTGATCTGCTGCCACGAAAATTTTGGTGTCGTTGAGATACACCCACGCATCAACAGCACTTTTGGCTATTTTGTCTTTCCAAATTAGCAGCTTCGCCTTCGAATTTGGCCAGTCCCAAGTATCGGTGCTCTTTTACGAAGAGATCCCAATCCGCCAGTGAAAAAACTCTATTCCTTCCGTTTATTAATCGCTGTGGTAAACTATTTTTGACATGTGCCAGAGAATCAATACACACATCAGTTTTTCCGTATGCATCCCTCCGAAGAACGAGTCACTGACATTTTTCCCGGCTGGTGGTTGTCATTAGCATTCCACAGCTAACACTGCTCCCGAATGTCTCCGCCTCTCATATACAGAGAATAAAAAAAGGACTTTGATTTTAGACTTTGGATGATTAGATTAATCACAGAAATGAATAAAATCAAAAAAATAAACGTTCTTTTTTTGAAAAAAAAAAATTGGAAAAGAGGTTTATGAAAGCGTCACTCTTGTGGCTGGAGGGAGTAGAGGGGAGGCATACTTGTATTCTCGGCTCGGTGTCTCTAAAAACATCTGCACAATTAGCTCCAGGTATATCTCTGCCTATAGATGGTGATCATCAAAAGAGAACTAAGAAGAATAGTGAACATGGAAGATGAGCAATCACACATTTTACGCATTAATATGCGGAGGGTTTCTGCTCAAAAATAAAAAAATGGAGGGCAGAGAGACGAACGCCAGGACCGCTAGATGATGCAGCATGGATCATAGCAACTAAGATAATTGACCAACGCACGGGCTGCCCGTGCGAAGATGCGTTTTTTGCATGGTTCCCCGCAGTTTTTGT